ATAATAATAACTAATGACTATAGTGGCACAATTACTAATTTATAAAAGTTTTCTTTTTAAATGTGTAATTTCACTCCAAAATCTGTCATAATACAAAAGTAAAAAGGTTGCAGTTGCTGTATCATGTTTACTTATTTCATTTGTTTCAAGTGTTTCAACAGTGTAGCATTAGCATTGTATTTTTGATGTGTTTGTGTGGGGGGAAGGGGAGAATGGCGTGTGTGTGATGTGATCTGTAATGGCATGTCTTTAAGGCAGACGCAAGTACAGCAAAGACAATCTGTCCTCCTGACACAATAGAGCCATGACTATGACAGACCATTTGCTGTTTTTGTGTCTGTACATGATTCTCTCTGGAAAATGTCTCAGATCTTGCCAACCAAGAGGGCTGAACAAATGTTTCAGGGTGATTTTCCACCGACTGAACACCAGTTTCTGCAGGGCTTAATGAATAGACTTCACACACACACACACACACACACACACAAACACACACACAGAGAGATGCCTGTGGCATTTTCACCCGCTTCTGTTGTCTTGTGACCTCTCAGTAATTGACTTGGCTCAAAAGACAAAGAGAAAGACTGACAGACGGATGTGTGTATTAGTGCAGCAGCTTCAAAAATGCATTTATCTTTCTTGGCCAAAAACATAACACTGTGCCTAAAAAAGGTTTAATGGTTGTGGCTTTTAGTCCATGTCTTCCATTAATGTCATCAATATACTAGTGTAAATTTGTTTTTTGCAAATACACATTTGACATTTTCAGTGTTTCTCTGCCAGAAAAAAATTAATGTTTAGAATAGAAACTGATAAACTGATAATGATTCAGGAGTGTATCCCAATGTTTATCCAATCAGATGCTGTCTAGAAATAAAAAACCTTCCCCTAATACCGCATGCAGTTGACTAGCAATAACAATTAGCAAATCTAATTCCTTTCAACAGGAAATACATCATTACATGAAAACTGTGCTTGTCAACACTTGTGTAAAATAAGTGCACTTGTATATATATATATATATATACTTAAAAAGTGTATATATACTACATTTAAAAAGTGCACTTTAAAAGTTGTGGTAACACTTTAGAATAGGGAACACATATTTACTATTAATTAAAAGTTTTCCCTAAATAAACTCCTAATTTGCTGCTTATTAATAGTTAGTAAGGTACTTGTTAAGTTTGTTTGGTAACAGCTAGTTAACAGTGAGAATTGGTCCTTAAAATAAAGTGTTACCAAAGTTTTAAAGGTGACCTATTATGCCCCGTTTTACAAGATGTAAAATAAGTCTCTGATGTCTCCAGAGTGTGTATGTGAAGTTTTAGCTCAAGATACCCTACAGATAATTTTTATAGCTTGTTGAAATTGCAATTTTTAGGGTATGAGCCAAAACGCGCTGTTTTTGTGTTTGTCCCTTTAAATGAAAACGAGCTGGTGCTCCCTCCTCCCCTTTCAGAAGAGGGTGGAGTTTCTAGAGCTCACGCACCAACATCATGCCAACAATAACAAAACACTCTCTCACGCACTGAAAATGTCAGAAACTGCTAGTAGCGGTGTTCAGCCATATATGTTCGAACCGGTGTCGTGCGAATTCTGCACCCTGCCAGATTATTTATGAATTACACAGACGGGGAGCACGGCGCTATAAAAATAACAACATAGCTGGTCTCATGGTGCCATCGCGTGCTAACACAAACTTTATAAGTCCCGAATATGATAATGAGCTAGACAAATTCAAGCGGTCGATTTCACATTGCTTCCATATGCAATTTTTAACTACCACATTCCTATTCACGATCATTCTGGTAGCACGTGAAGGCAGCATCAGTGAAAACAGACAGACAATGGTAGCTTTAGCAACATTAGTCTTACAGAGTGCCAAGAAGCTCTTTCAGAAAGGCAATTTGGAAAACAAACACGTGATACTTACTTCATCTAGATGGCGTAACGTTAGCTGGATCACGAACAGTTGGCACTGCTCCATCCTTCAGGAGCAACTTTTGTGCAAAACCTGCTTTATACTGACCCTCATTCACAAAGCAGTCCGGTGTAAAATGATTCGCGCAGACATAAACAAATTTCTGTAGAGTTGAGGGAGCATTTTCTTCGAAAACAAAATTAATCCACCTCGTCTTCAGCGGTTCAGATTTCGGGAGTAAATGGAGAGAGCTATGTGGATTAATACATCCAGCTACAGAACACCTAAAATGCTTGGGAGACATTCTCGTCAGTGCAGCGATGTGTACAACTCGCTGTGAACTCGCTCAGGGCGGTTCTATGGACGTCACATTAGCACCAATGCTAAAAATAGGCCATTGGGAGACACTGCTTATTATTTATGGGGATTTAAAAAAAAGGAGTGGGTGGATTTTTATCATTATAGAGTGGTTGTGTACATACACTGCCAACACACATTTATGTCCAAACACCTTGCAAAAGTGAATTTTGCATAATAGGTCCCCTTTAAAGTGCATTTCAAATCATTTTGTCTTAATAATCTTTTGTCATACACTTATTTTGATGTGTTGACTAACAGACTAAAGCACATGTAAAGTACTTGATTATAATTTTAACTGTAGTGTTACATTTATTTGATTTTAAATTTGCAATAAACATACATTTAATTGTCTGAAATTTAAAACATTACATTTGTTCTTTTCAGGTATACACTATCCAGTTTTTAAAGTATGCTGAAGTGTACTTCCTTTCACAAGGGGAAGCCATTTCATGGGGTCTTTAAGCGATACATTGTAGCAGCACAGACCAGGATAATGACATTCATCGTCAAATATTTTCAATATTGATTTTTGTACGTGTTCGTTTTTACCTACAAGAAACTGAATAATAATAGCCATCTATTTTAAGAACTATCCCTTTGTTTTCCACCTTCTTGCTCTGTTCAGTTCAGCTTTCCTTTCTGATGGTCTTTCCCTTGTGACTTTTTTCCTAATTATGACCTCTGTCTCTCTCTCTCTCTGTCTCTGTCTTTATGATGTGTCTCTATGCAGTGAGATGATGAGTTACTAATCTTGCCCCCTGGTTATGATAATCATGGGAACCGGATGGAATGTTCATCGGGATGGAATGTTTCAGATCTCACTGTCATTGCTGCAGATGTTTGCTCAGACTTGTGTTTCCTCAGAAGGGGGCGGGGCAGTGCTTCATCTCGTGCTGATGATGTCAGTAAAGAGGGTTGTCAGTCTGAGCTGTTCTAGAAAAGTACAGATTCCAACAAGCAATACATTCTCTCCATTTTATGTTGGGCAGAGTTTCTGTCCTAAATAACTGGCGATGAGCAACAAGACACTTTGTGGGTCATTTGGTGTTTATTTCTCGTGTTGCACTACATGAGCCCACCAAATCTCATTGGTCCATAATTCTAGACGTTGCTCTATTGTAATGGCCTCCTCATCAGCTTTTTTGTTCTTAGCATGGACAAACAAATTCACAACTTTGCATATGTTTAGGACGCAGTGTAAGAATTCTTAGCTGTGTCTTACTTTCCCTAATGAAAGAGAAGTCTGCTTATTTGTATTGAATGTGCACCCGAGTGTATTTCAGATCTTAAAAGTGTAGTTTAAAAAAAAAACAGTACTTGCAGATAATATAATATTAATGAATTAAAAAAAAAACTTTTTGTGTGCTTAAAGGGAATTCACTTTCATGACTGTTTTTAACACACGTAATTATACTTTTAAAAAGTGCCCTTTGTAGTAATGTCCAATTAAAAGTTTTACTGTAAAGTATATTTAAAGATCACGTTTTAATATTTTTTTGTCATTCTTTACAGAAGTACACTTATTTTGATGTGTTGACTAACATACTAAACACATGTAAAGTACTTGACTATCATTTTAACTCTGTGTGATATTTAGTATTACATTTAGTTCATATATTTGAAATGTACTACATTACAACTTAATCATTACAAATGTTTCATTATAAATATATTTAAATACATAACAAGCAAGTTTCAATAGAAATGACATTAAAGTATATTTTAGTTTACCATAAATGCTTGTCAGTACATTCAGCAATACACTTTAACCATATAACAAAGAAGTAATTATAAAATTATATACTGTGTATACATATATATATATAAAAGTACTTTAAATTTCTCTCTAATTTCATTTTATATAAATAATACATACAAACTATAATACATTTTTATTTAATTAAAATTAACATACCCTAGTGAAAAATATATATACTAAAATTTATTTGAAATGCATTTATTTTATGCTAAGTATACTACAAATACATTTACATATTTATGTACTTAATAAAAATACCCTGCAATTGTGCTTTTAGTATACTAAACTGGTGCACGTAAAGTTTGCTAAATTGGAACAACTAATTTTGTGCTTAATGCACTTTAATGGAGTGGAAGTCTTGCTGAGCTCCAATTAAAGATATACTGAAGTATATTTGATTGTGCTAAAGTGGAACTATTGCAAGTATACTTAAGGTACGCATTTATTATTCAAAGATCATACAGTCCTCATCAATAGTGACATTAAAACACATTTAGGCTTAATATTAAGAAATGTGCATTGTGCACAAGCAGTACTCCAAAAAAAAGTTTAATTATAATTTTTACATCAGTAAGTCTCGAGCAATATGTCAGTAAATATGCTAATGGTTTTTGAACACTACCTAGTATGAAATAAATGTATTTTAAATATATTGGTTTTTACTAGGGTACATAACAAATAAATGTCCAAAAACATTACATTCAGTTCACACTTAAGTATATTATTTTAAAGTATATTATTTCTGTAATAAGCACTCTTTTTAAAAGTATGTTAAAGTGTACTTCATTTTAAGGGTATGCTTATCCTAAAAGGCACCTGAATTATAAATATTACAGCCAACATGCAATAGTTTGTCTTTGGCAGCACCTTAGATTCAGAAGCAAAAGGTCTTTATCATAAAGCCTAATTGGTTCTAACTTGAACATTTATTAAATCATCTGTGTGTTTTGTTGATAACAGCATCGAGCATCGGGGCGGGTTCTGTTCGAAATGGTCTGCTTGCATCTGAACCTTATTGAGGGGGATTACTTTGGCCTGGAGTTCCAGAGCCATCACAGAAAGATGGTAAGTTAAGTTTTTTCCTTAAGGTCCTTTTTTTTTCTTTTTTTTTACAGTTATAATTCATATTTTATGACCATTTTCTACCATTTTTCTGACCCTTATAATTAAACAAGTTGATTTTTGCTGCTGTAGGAGCTCAATAATCTCAACACTAAAAAATGGTTGTTGTTAATGTGTCAATGAGTTTCTTAATTTTTGCAGTATGTTTTTATACAAAACAAAATGAACTGTAAGCTGACGCTTTGTGTTGTACGAGGCCTGTTTCAAGATCCGTGTTTCAGTCGTACTGATCTCTGCTGTGTGCTCTACTCCACAGGTTTGGTTGGATTTACTAAAGCCCATTAGAAAGCAGATCACACGTAAGAGGCCTCACTGCTGTGTGTGTGTGTGTGTGTGTGAGTGAGAGCGAGAGCAAGAGTTTAGTATCTCTCTGTGATTTCCACAAGACATACTAGTCTCTATTTTTGAACGTTCTGATTCTAACACATTCATGCTAGGTTTATATAAATGTAACCCCGTGCATGCGTGTGTGTGTCCAGGGCCCAAGCACACCGTCCTTCGGTTTATTGTGAAATTCTTCCCACCTGATCATACAGTGCTGTTGGAAGAGCTGACCAGGTGAATCCATCACTCCACTCGCTCATTCCCTCTGCTCATTCAGTGAGGCTTTCATGTGTCTCTCACATGTGCTTGTATGCCTGTTCTCTCTCAGGTACTTGTTTGCGCTGCAGGTAAGGCAGGATCTGGCCAGCGGACGTCTCACCTGTAGCGACGCCAGCGCTGCTCTGTTGGTGTCTCATATCATCCAGTGTGAGTTATGCTGACTGTAGTAAACTGATAAACTAAAACCGATAGTTAAGACTCTAAAAATGTGATTGGATGAGCTGCCCTAAAAAGTATAACATAGCCCATATACCCACCTATAATTACACATAACTATATTATGCTTCAAAATTAAAATTTATTTTGAGTGTGTGTATATATATATACACATAACCATAAAAACATACAAACACACAAAAAATGTATAACGTAAAACTATTATAATCTTTTATTTACAGTACCATACATTTAAAGAAATATATATATTTTTTATTTGTTTGATTACTTTTCTTACCATAACTTGGTCACACTTTATTTTTAGGTCCAATTCTCACTAGGTAGTAGCAAGTTCCTGTACTTGCTTGCAGCAGCAGCAATAATCTACAACTACAGCAATAACCAACAGCAGCAGCAGATCTATTCCGCCAAGACCAAATACATTAACATTGTCATATGCATCACCATGCTAAAATCTTCCGAGAGTTGTTATGATTGAACTATTAACTACGACTCCTGCTTCAAAAATCTCCTAATTTGCTGCTTATCAACAGTTAGTAAGGTAGTAGTAGTTAAGTTTAGGTATGGAGAAGGATTAAGAGATCTAAAATATGGTCATGTAGAATAATGCATTAATATGTGCTTTACAAGTACTAATAAACAGCCAATCTGCTAGTAATATGCATGCTAGTTAATAGTGGGAACTGGTCCTTAAAATAAAATGTTACCAATAGCTTTAGTAGCAGGGTTGAATGGTTGAGCTTGACAAATGCAGTCAGCACTACAATTTGTGTAAAACTGAAAAATGGAATGACTATTTTATACTTGTTAATAATAAATTTTTTCTATAGTGATTAAATGTCAGATAAAGAGAAAATCTTTCTACAACTAGCTATTGCTATGCGAATTATGTATACGCATGCTGTAATCCAGCAGGACAATCATTCAGTAATAGTTATATACTATCTCTTTGTCTCTGTCTTCAATCCCTGTCAGTCATTTGTCATTTACTCACAGTGAACCTGTGTGTGTGTTTATTTAGCTGAGATTGGTGATTTTGAGGAAACTCAGTGTAGACAGCATCTACTTAACACCAACTACATCCCTGACCAGATGGCCCTGATGGACAAAATCATGGAGTTCCACCATAAACACATGTGAGTCTCCCAAACAAAATACTAATGCTCGCTGACGGCACACTTTCAGTAGACTGCCAACATCCATTTAATTTGATTGTGCTTTTTCATCTGGTAGTCATTTTCGATAATTTGTATACTGTTTTTCCACCTGCAATGTGACCATTAAGTGTCGGATGTTCAGAGGGCATTTAGTAGATGTTGTTGTGACAGTATAAATTATTACAGAATCAAGTACATTATAGCATATAGCAAAACACCAGTCAGTGTCATAACTTTGTGTTTGTGTGTGTTTAAGTGGACAGTCTCCCGCAGAGTCAGATTACCGGTTGCTGGAGGTGGCGTGCAGGTTGGAGATGTACGGTATCCGACTCCATCCTGCTAAAGACAGAGAAGGATCCGAACTCAGCCTGGCTGTAGCACACGGCAGCATCCTCGTGTTTCAGGTGCATGCGATCACACACTCTCTCTCTCACACACACATACATGAACCACAGCATGACACAAGTTGTGTTTTACTCAGGGACACAACAGGATCAACGACTTCAACTGGTCTAAAATACGCAAGCTGAGTTTCAAGAGAAGGAGGTTCCTTATCAAACTGAGAGCAGACCCTAGCGTGAGTTTCATGCAGTATGAATGTGTCATTATATTAAGCGCACATTTATCATGTCCAATTGTGACATGGTGTCTCTGTCTGTCTCGTCCTGTAGCAGAATGTTAATCAAGATACTCTGGAGTTTCTTATGGCGAGTCGGGACTGCTGTAAAATGTTTTGGAAGATCTGTGTGGAGTATCACGCCTTCTTCAGGCTCTTTGAGGAGCCCAGACCCAAACCTAAACCGGTGCTGTTTAGCAGGGGCTCATCCTTCAGGTTCAGGTGCTAAACCTGATTAAATGCTTTTGGTAACATGTATATGTGTATTTGTCTGTAGGTGAAGTGTGAACCCTTGTGAAAAGAAGTGTACTTAACTGTAATGAATGTGCGCTTGTAGTGTACTTCAAATCTTAAAACTGTACTTGCAGATAATGTAATATTAATTAAATAAAAGGCCACTTAAGTGTAGTACTATCATTATGTTTCAATAGTCTTTTGTCATGCTTTAAAGAAGTACACTTATTTTGAAGCACATGAAAAATAATTGATTATAATTTTAACTGTAGTGTATTCTTTTGCTCTTGTCAACATGTTGTGTAATTCAGTTGGACTAATTACCCCCTCTTCTCTGCAGCGGGCGGACACAGAAGCAGGTGATAGATTACGTGAAGGAAAATGAGTTTAAAAAACTGCCCTTTGACAGGTGAGCCTGATCTGTTATTATAATGAACGGAAAGTCAAGAGTTCACCACTGCTATTCCTTTAATGTTTAATTAGTAGAAACTTGTAAGGCTGTGTGGTTCATTGTTTGTGTGTCTGCTGTTTTCTCTTTCAGGAAACATAGTAGAGTGCAGTATAGCAGCAGCCTGTCACCTCTGCGTCACCAAGTGCCAAATCAAGTTAGTGTCTGCACATATGAATGTTTTCAAGCCACTTTTAACTAAGAGAGATGTTGGTAACATTTTAGAATAGGGAACACTTATTCACTATTAACTACGACTTTTCCCTCAGTAAATTCCTAATTTGCTGCTTATTAATAGTTAGCAAGGTAGTTGTTAAGTTTAGGTATTGGGTAGGATTAGGGATGTAGAATAAGGTCATGTAGAATAAGGCATTAATATGTGCTTAATTACTACTAATAAATGGCTAATATTCTAGTAATATGTATGCTAATAAGCAACTAGTTAAGAGACCCTAAAAAGTGTTACTGAGCTGTTAAACTCACTGTTGCATGATATTATGTTGCACAGAAAATATTTCAGAAATGGATGGATAGATATTAAAGGTGCATTCAGTCGTTTAGTGCTAAGTTGTATACTTAGGAAATGCATTTTTGTGGAGTTTTTGTGAAAAGTCTGAATCTGAATGGCTGTAAACTCAAACATAATGAAGACTGTACTGTAATAATTTTCTAAGAAGTGTCTATAGATGCATTAGTAGGATAGTGTAGTTTGGTAATGTGAAGAGCAAAAGTTAGACAGTGGAACACTGTTTTCAGTATTCAGTGTACAGTGTGTACGCTATTATCGATGTACGCTATTATCATAATTGGTAACACTTTATTTTAAGGTGTCTTGTTACACATGTTACATGTACTTACTATTATAATAACAATAAATTATTCATAATTACATGCAAGTAACCCTAAGCCAAACCCAAATCCTAACCCCAACCATATAGTAAGTACATGTAGTTAATTAATATTACTCAGTACTTAACTGTATAATTACACTGTAACAAGGACACCTTAAAATAAAGTGTAACCTCGTAATTTACCAGCAAAGACAAAAGGAGAATCACCAGTATGGCCGAAGAAGTAAAAAATGTCTGAAGCCAGTAGACAGAATGACAAAAACAATCATAAACATCAGCATGGCATAAAAAAGTTGGAAATATTTGACTGAAAATATCCCGAGTAGTGATGCCCAAGTTGCTTCTTTTTGGTCGGACAAGTAAGGGTTTAATTACTGTGTAATCTGTTCTCTAAAACTCACTAGTATCAGTGTAATTTACATAAAACTCATAGACAATAATGCTGATCCGTGCGATAGATGGCAGTGAAGCATCTACCACCATTTCGGTATTAGTACTTACAGTACAGAAAGAACAGCAACACTAATGCTAACTAAACAACTACTGAATGCACTTTTAAATTAGTATGATTTATCTTAAATAATAAAAAATAACAAAATAAAATGAATGACTGAACCAATGGACTGGGCCCTAGAGGAGCCTAGTGTTCAGCCCTCTTTGGCTGAAGGGCCTGGCATCCTGAAGCTTTGGAGACCACGGGGCAATGATCCCACTGGTCCAGTTTATAATCCAGCCCTGGCAAGAATAGCAGAAATTGACATGATGTTACTATCTGCAAACTACTATTCTCAAATTCCACCCTTAGCCAAGTGCTGTCATAACCAGAGATTCATCCATGTAGTTCCACCCTAAAAAAAAATGCATAGATCAAAAAATAAATTTAACTCAGGAACAAGCCTCACATTTCTGCTTCTACCCGCTCTGGAATGCTGGCCCCTAGACTTCCGTTGTAATTGCACTGCTGTAAATGACAAGTCAATTAATTTCAGTGATTGGTAGCCCATTACTCATGTAGAACCCAGAATACTCTGGAACGCATAATGTGTAGGTACTGATGAAGGACTTCTCTCTTCCTCTCTCAGGCTGTCAAGCAGAGCTGGGAGGGCTCATTTTTAGTAAGCTCAGAAGATTCTGCGGTAGTAAGACCAGGCGGAAACTCCTCCTCATCAACTCAACGCAACGGATGCAGCGACCAAACATACCCCATTCAAGAGGACAGCAGCAGTCCGGCAGCTAAGCAGCCGCCCGTCGATCAAGCAGGTCTGGCGTCCCATGCAGCTAAAGGCAGCAGCTCATCCATCCCGTATATTGACTGCAGTGATGCAGAGTTTAGTGAACAGGAAGTCAGAGGTCGGGTCAGCAGGTCACACTCGCACACACGTGATGGCAACAGCGGCAGCGCTTATGGCACAGGGTTTGGTTCGCCCCGGGCACATCAGCAGGACAGATACTTGGGCAAGTTCAGGCAGAAAGAGTCTCTGCCTCTTTCCCCTGCAAGCCAAGCAGAAAGCCCTGCCCACAGCTATCCCAGCCCCTCCTCTCCAAATCAAAGTGGTAACATTTTTGAGTCGTCATTTTTTGGAGGCAGGGTATGTGGGCCGCTTCATAGCACACTACTGGAAGAGTTGGCCGCAAAAAGCTCCTTAAACCACCACACAGGCACCAGGAGCCTGACCTCTAGCCCCGCCCCCTCCTCAATTCACAGGACCAGCTCACTAAGCTACGCCCAGTATAATGGACACACCGGGCGGAGCTTTAGTTCAAAAGCAGGACGGGAGGAAAGGGGCGGACTATTTAGTAGCTGCTCCCCAATTATGAATCGTTCAGCAAACAAGTCCCAGAACACTGTTAGCCAATTAGAAAGAAACATACGAGTCTCGAATCAGCCACACCCTCCCGTTCTCCCCCGTGCCGAGAGAATGGCCATGTTGGAGCGCCGAATGCTGGCCAACGGGCTCACGCCTCCCGGCAAGGCTAATCTCAAGCCAAGCTCCCCGCACCGGCGCTTCGGGGCTGTGCAGATGATTGACGGCTCCACCAGTAGTGGAACAGACACTAGCGACTCTGAAGAGGCGGAGTCTACTGGCTCCTGCAGCCATTCGCTAGGGCTTGAAAACCAAGCCACCCATAGTTCGTCCCCCCTCCCCAGAAACAAGTACTCGTTCGGAAGCTTGCAGCTAGATGAGCTTGACAATGAAGGAGGGTGTGTGAACCTCAGTGATGAGGAAGGGATGCAAGTGTTTAACTGCTAGCATGCTAGTGTGAAAACGTCATTGCGGTGTGCTTCTCGGCAATGCCACACTGAGTGTTTTTCCTATACCCTGAGATGGCCTTAGCTGTGTGACAAGGCGGATATTCTTCCCTTTCTTGAGGCAAAACTCTGTATAGTTTTGCAGGAAGGGATTTTACCCATCCTCTGTATTTGAACAAGAGGGAGCTTTTGTGGTGCCAAGTTCTGCACAGAATGCTAATTACTGACAGTTCTGATGCTGCAATAATCTGGAATACTTCAGAAATTCAGAGTGATGTTGTCACTCCCCAGAGTAACTTTGAGACCTCTGCATTTGGAAAAATGCGAGGAGTCATAACAGTAGATGTGAACGTGATTTTGCCAAGTAAGACATGTTCCTGGATCCATATCCTTGTTGATACTGGAGCGACTTTCCTGTTGACCAATCAGATGTTTGGGTTAGGGTTAGATTTAGTCTTAGAGTTGAAGACTGGGGTTCCAACAGCACTGTCAACTCATCATTCGCTCTAGTTTTTAAAAGTTGTTAAGGGTGAGGCTGTAATATGAATGAGTCTGAGGTAGAACACTTTTTGGGGCCTTCATGCCTCTCCTTTATGAGGAACACTCTGCATCAACCATTACTTTTAGACTTTTTAATAACTGTAGGAACTAGAACTTGGGTCCTACTGTACAGTTGAAATGATTGTGGTACTTTTAGAACAAGGCTGGGCAACTCTGGCCCTCAAGGTCCTTTGTCCTGCAGAGTTTTGCTCCAACCTTACCTGTAGCTGTCTAGTAATCCTGAAGACCTTGATCACCTTGTTCAGGTGTGTTTGATTAGGCTTGGATCTGAACTCTGCAGGTAAGTGGATCTCAGGGGCCAGAGTTGCTCACCCCTGCCTTTGAAGCTTGTGTAGCTCTCAGTATGGTGTAGAGCACGTTTAGCCAGCCCTGTTCCTGGAGGACTACCTTCCTGCAGAGTTCAGTTCCAACACTGCTCCAACACACCTGCCTGAAACTTTTAAGTAATCCTAAACACCATGTTTATAAAGTATATTTGATTGGGGATGGAGCTAAATTCTGCAGGATGGTAGCTCTCCAGTAGCAGAGTTGGCTTCCCCTGCTATAGAACTTCATCTTCATTCATATTCTCAATCGTCACTTTGCCAGTTTGCCATTTGTACATTTGTGCTGGCACTCACAGCTGCTTCTTCATAGAATCATTTAAAGAACAGTGTGATTTTTGAAGTTTCACTCATCATGGCAAAAGATCTTCATATCATGGTCTTCATTGTGTGGTTCATTTTTCCTTCTGGCTGAGCCTCGGAAATATCTCTGTTTACTATGATAAATTAGCAGATTCAGACTGGACATTTTTAATGGTAACATAAAATCCTGCATGCTTTTTTATTAGGTAGATTTGAATGTACCCATTTTGAATATAAGGGGGTTTTGTCCTATTGTGTCAAAATTGTGATGAATGTACTTGTCAGTAAGAGATTTCAGATTATGAAATGCAAATCCTGTCATTGTATACTCATCTTCATGTCACAAAAGGAAAAATTTTGAAGAATGGTTTGCACTGCTTTTTTAGAAAACAACAGAAGTGTACAGTTTATTGGTCTCAATGGGCCATATGGGTTTGGAATGACACGAGGGTGAGTAGGTAATGACAGAACTTTCATTTTTGAGTGAACTGTCTCTTTAAGCTGTACGATGGTTCAGTCTACAGAGAGAAAGTGTCACAGCATTTGTGTCTGCGTCTCACTGTGTTACACTCTCTCCCTCGCTGAGCACCTCTACCTTACCTTGCACATGGGTTTACCTGTTATCCTTCAGCAGGGATTGGAAAGGGTGTTTTTTGATAATTTAACAAAAATTGCATACTTGTAGTTTTTTTTTTTTTTTTCAAAAATTCACAGAAAAAAAAAATCTATGAAAATGTGATAATGCCATCTAGCACATGAGTTTCTAATCCCTGCCTGAGTTCTCACTCAGCTTTGATGTCTCTACACTCTTGGCTGATATTCACTATTGTTTTATACCTTTTCTTTTCTTTCCTGCCCTGTTTTTTTTTTTTTTTCCTGAAACCGCTTGAGCTTGTCATCCTTGTCATTTATGATCAATAAATGCTTGTTATGTTTTCTGCTGGCATTTAAAATGGAATGAATGAATCTTTGTAACTAATGGTGTTTTTAAATGCTGGGCTGCATGCTCTCCCTTCATATGGCTATTCTGTTCTATTTCAATGAAAGCTGAAAGGGCAGAGCGTTCTGGGAACTTTTCACACATGAAAATTTAAATATCCTTATGAATGTCTGTGACATGACTGATCTTCTTTTGTTTGTTCACACAATGATCAAATTATACACCAGGACTGTTTATAAATCGGCTTTATGGCCTGAAAAAAATGATACCACCTGCTGTTCATTTGTGTGAATGACATGTTGATGTTCTTTCTCGCACCTTGGCTATGTTCAGAATGGAATACTATTGGAATACTATTCTGAACATAGTCGTTCCCTCTCTTCCTCTGTCTCATTCAGCACTGTTCAAGCTTAATCTCTGTTCTGATGTTTCCCTGCCTGTTTCTTCTCAATGACTTTTGGTTCTGCTGCTCTTTATAAACCACATAGACTTTTTAACACTGTATTTTGTGCACTAGTGTCAATAAAGTTACAGTTGGCCTTTGAAGACTCAGGAATTGTTTTTTTTAAAGCTTATAATGCTCATATTTTTCATAATCCAACCCCCTTTCCCTTTCACTCCTACCAACACCCCCCACCCCCTCCCGGCTAGCTATGGCTGCACAGCGCATGTCTCACTATCTGTCAACACATGTATGTATATAAAGTGCAGCATACATGCATTAGTTCAGAAAAAGTCTTAGATCTTTGAGTTCAGCTCATGAAAAATGGGGGCAATTTTGTTCAGTGTATGTTTGTATGGTGTAGTGTGAATTGTTTGTATGTTGTATGGTTTACATGGAGTTTGTGCTGTAAATGCACTACCATTTACAAGTTTGGACACGTTCCTTATTATTACAGTTTTCCATATTTTCAAGTTGTCAAAAGTATGAAATAACATTATGTAGTGGCCAAAACGTGAAACAAATCAAAAGTCTTATATATTTCAGCTTCTTATCCAGCTATCACTCAACTAACTAACTTTAAACTGTATTTATGGAGTTCATATGTACTGTATGCCAGCGACTTGTTGATGCTTTTCCCTTGTGAAAAATAAATGTGCCTAATTGTATTGAATGTACACTTGTAGTGTACTTAAAATCAAAAAGTATATATTTAAAAAAAAAACTGTACTTGCAGATAATATTAATAAAATTAGATGCTCTTAAGTGTACTTAAATAGATTAATCATTCATGACTTCTTAACACACTTAAGTGCACTATTAAAAAGTACAGAATGTCAAATTAAATTAAAAGTATTACTTTAAAGTTTACATTTTAAATCATTGTTTTAATAATCGTTTGTTGTGCTTTAATGAAGTACACTTATTTTGATGTGTTGACTAATATACTAAAACACATGTGAAGTACTTGATTATAATTTTAACTATATTGTAGATGTAACATTTAAAGTTAATATATTTTAAATGTACCAAATTGCAGTTGCATCATTACAAATGTGTAATTACAAATATATTTAATTACATTCCATTTTCAATAGAAATAATATTAAAGTATATTTTAGTTTACTATAAATGCTTATCAGTGCATTCGCGTTAACCATATTTCAAAGACGAAGGCTGAAGTTCATCTAATTGCATTTAATATAAATTCTAATTATGTACATTTTCATTTAATCGCATGTTAACTGAAATGTTTCTGAAAACATTACAGTCAGTTCGCACTTAAGTATATTATTTCCGTAATGAGTACTCTTTTTAAAAGGATGCTGAAGTGTACTTCTGTTTCACACAGGGGCCCAACTTGTCTATTTGAAACTTTGAGTTTAAGAGCTTGAAGGTCATGAGAAACGTGTTCACAGCTTTGAATGGTAGAGTATACAGTATGTCATTAAGATAGCCCTCACACTGGTTTGTGTTGGTGTCTGTGTCGGGCTGCACTCACACCTGCTTCATTTATCATGACTGCACTACTCAAAGGAAACAGAAGAGGCGGATTTGGGCAAGTACTGAGAAAAACCTCCTGTAGGAGTACAGATTTGTGGAAAGCGCACTAGACTATAGGAACAATGAACATAGACATGCATATTTAGCATTTATCAATTATTTATTTTACCCATTTAGACTCAAGAACTGTTACTGCTTATATCCCGTACCAAAAGTACAATGGCAATACCATGGTACAGCAACTTTGATAAATGCATGTATGATCACTGTATCCCTGTACTATGGTACTCCATGGTACTTCAAAGATTAACATGCTACTCCCACGGTTAATATTCAAGAGAAACATAGCAGTACCATAGTATTTTTGTAGTACTTTTTTTTGCTATTGATGCATATTTGCATGCTAAAATAAGTGAAAGTGAAGTCTAAATGCACACATCCCATATCAAAACGATCAATATAATAGGAATCTGCCTCAGGTCTGTGCTAATGATCTTCATCTGTGTCTGTCTCTCGTTCTCAGAGGTGACGTGTGCTTTGGTAACATTAGTTAACGGTCACGCTGATGACTGTAGAGGAGCGACGCCATCTCCTCTCATCTCCCCCATGCTGAATGACACTGGTGCCATACGCACTGATGAGGAGGAGGACAACAGGAGGAAGGTGAGGGCTGTGGATGAACGGGTGTGTTTGCTAGCAAGTGGAAACTGTGTTTATGTGACTGGCTGTACAGTCAATAGTCCTCAAAAGCGTAAAGATTTGTTACATGGTACCATAGCAGCACGAACAGTTTTCAGCATTGATGATAAGCAAATCAGCATATTAGAGTGATTTCTGAAAGATCATGTGACACAGTAGACTGGAGTAATGATGCTGAAAATTCAGCTTTGCAACACAGGAATAAATTACATTTTAAAATATATTACAATTACATTATCCTACATGTATTTAAATTACATTTAAATGTATGCCAGTGTGGCTTTATTTAGTTTATATGCATAATAAATAGGGTGACCATACGTCCTCTTTTCCCCGGACATGTCCTCTTTTTGGACCTAAAAAAAAATGAGTCTTTGGGGAAGTCATGGCCTAATGGTTAGAGAATCGGACTCGGTTACGGGTTCGAGTCTAGTTCCGGCAGGGATTGTAGCACTTTGGATGGGATAAATGCAGAGCACTAATTCCGAGTATGGGTCACCATACTTGGCCACATGTCACTTCACTTAATCACCCAAAATGTCTGGGATTTGGCTGTTTTCATAATCTCGCTCCCGCTGAATCTCTGACCATTGCCGCCTGCTCCCGCAACATGCGTTTCGCTCCCGTGATTTTCATGTTCACTCCTTTAAACATTCTAATATTGTGCATCAGGGAGCCGCTCTCAGTATTTAAATCCCTTTTGAATGAGCGTTCGCGCTGTTCACTTTTGATTTCGCGATCACGCACTCTGTGTAAAGGGAGCACATCTTACCAGATCAGATATGTGTCAATGAGCTCAGGATCTGTTGAGCAGCAAATACAAGCATGAGTCTTGCATGGTCTTGTCAGTCATCTCTCCTTATTCTCGACCTGTGATCAGTCAAATCTGACTCCTGCAGCTCTTGTTGGATGCAGGGTTGCCAAGTCTTGGCACTTTAAAACTGTTGCCATGGGTTGATTTTCCCAAGTGGGTTAAAGGTTTGAAATATTGCATAAATTACATTTGACTGAAATGCTTGTATTGAAACATTTTGCATTCTACCTATGATAAAACTTGCATGGACTTTTACATTAACTGTTCCCTCCTGGTGGAATGACCTGCCCAGCTCAATCCAAGCAGCTGAGTTCTTAATATTTTCAAGAAACAGCTGAAAACACATCTCTTTCGTCTTCATTTGACCCTCTAACTCTATAGAGTGAAGACGAAATGAAGGGTCAAATGAAGCATTATAATAGAGAGTGCTATAGCACTCTCTATTATAATGCTAATTCTAATTTTATCTGCTTGTTTTTTTTATTTAAAAAAATCGACCCTCTAACATTTGCACTCTCTATTCTATTTCTATTCTATCTACTTGTTTTATTTAAAAAGAAAAAAAGAGCCTTTAACACTAGCATTCTCTATTCTTTCTCTGCTCTTTCTACTTATTTTCTTTTTATTTATTATAAAAACAAAACAAGCAAAGAAACACACATACACACACACAAAAAACTTGCTATGTATACTTTTAGGCGAAACCCCGCCCGCGAACTAAAAAAAAACTAAACTAAAATATGGACATCCTAATAATAAACCATCTCTATAACTCAACTGTAGTATAGTTGATGTCAGTTTTCATGACGTGTTATATTGTACTGATGACTTGTGCTGTGTTGTGTGTGGTTTTGCAGAACTGTCCCGCTGATAACGCGTACTGCATAGCTAAAGAGTTGCTGAACACTGAGAGGACGTACCTGAAGGACCTGGAGCTGATCACAGTGGTAAATGATGGACAGACATCAGATCTCCACACACACACACACACACACACACGCATTCCTGTCCAGCCACAGTGGGTGGGTTTACATTCATCTATAGAGCTCAACCCACAAAACACAGTGCAGTCATCAGAGGCTGTGGATCAGGTTTAAAGAGCAGTGTGTGTGTGTGTGTACATGTGAGAGAGTACTGAAATGGGGTTATGTTTACAGGCCTGAGGGCAATGTGGCTTTTGTAGGACTTTACCACAGTTTAACGCAGCAGCATATCTTCACAGGGGTTCTGCTTACTTTATCAGCTGCACGCATGAACATGAACATGAACCTCACACTCTGTCCAGTGACTGAGTAAAAATTCTTAGAGATGTTCTGTCACCTCAAGCTGAATTTTCAGCATCATTGCTCCAGTCTTCAGTGTCACATGATCCTTCAGAAATCATTCTAATATGCTGATTTGCTGCTCAAGAAATATTTCTTATTATTATGAGTGTTGAAAACAGTTGTGCTGCTTCATATGTTTAATATGAAAACCTTGATACATCTTAGATTAATTGAAAAGAGCAACATTTATTTGAAATTGAAAATTTTTATTATAACTATCTTTATAAATGGCTTTACTGTCAATTTTGATCAATATAATGCATCCTTGCTGAATAAAAGTAGCCATTTCTTAAAAAAAAAAACTGATGACACAATTTTGAAGTGTAGTATATCCTCGTATTATATCATGATCTACACTCGATAAACTACACATTTATTAAAAACTTCAATATGAACTTTCCTAATAAGAATAGCTACACAATACACATAGGAACCACACAATGATTAACTCTCATATAAGCAGGTACAGGTGTTGTAATATGATTGATGTCTGTGTGTGTGTGTGTGTGTCAGTTGTTTCAGGGAGTGTTGGATAAAGAGGATTGTGTTCCTGACGCTCTGAAGACACTGTTGAGTTCCACCTATGAGCCGCTACATTCCCACCACACACACTTCCTCCAGGAGCTCGAGGAGAGACTATCACTGTGGTGAGTAACACACACACACACACTCGATCAGGTTTCAGGCTACAGTCTCGACAGTAAGCTGAGTTTGAGTGATGGTTTCAGTAGTGGCAGCAGTAACAGCTCTCAGTGTAATTATCATCATTAGGGTCATTTGAGCGTTTGAGAGACTGAAGCTTGCATGTTAGTATTCACATGTTCACATGAGTCTGCTTTTTTCAGGTTAAACTATATTTGCAGTCAAGGGTAAATGAGTATGAAGGCTGAATCTTATCCTGCACCTCAATCTGCATAATATGTGTTCTAAATAGTTTACGAATTAGTGTCCCAAATCAGACCACATTTTTACAATAAATAACACCTTTTTTAAATATTTGTATTATTTCTTTATTTAATATACATTATAACACTATACTTTGTTTTCTATTATCCTAGCATTAAATTACAAAAATACATTCTTTTTTCTTCAGATCAGTATTATTTTAGTATTATTGATATGCTATTATAGTTTTATTTTAATATTTTGAATTAGATTTTTTTTTATTATCTCGTCTTTCACTTCGTCTTGTTTTTGTAATTTTCATTATTTATGTTTTTTAATATGTCTTTATAGTATTTATTAATTGTATTTATTAGTTTTAGTTTATTTTAGTATTTAAATTAAACGAAAATGAGAACATATTTTTTAAAATATTTTATTTCTGTTAACATTTATTTTGTTTCAGATAACTGAAATGTTTTATGGTTTTAGTTTTTTGCTCATGGAACAAATGCAAACACAAAATTACATTACACTCTGTATAAGTGTCCTTGTTACAGTGTAATTATTCCGTTAAGGGCTGAGAAATATTAAATAACAGCATGTACTTGGAATTACATGGTTGGTTTAGGGATAGTTGTTACACATATTTTACTGTTATTACTAATTATGTGTAACAAGGACACTGTGAAATAAAGAGTTACCAAAAATTACATTTGTCTCCTTTTCACCTCAGAAGTTTACTGTCCATTGTCCTGTAGAGTTTAACTCCAGCTCTGATCAAACAGAGCTCAACAAGCTAGTAATCAAGCTCTTGGTGAGTGCTAGACAGTTACAGGCAGATGAGATTGATCATGTTTAGAGCTAAACTCAGCAGGACAGAGGACTTTGAGTGCTGGAGCTGAGAAACACTGCTTCAGTAAATAATGTAATTATGCAAATTACGCAGCTCTACTCAGAAAACATCATTAGTCTGGAGTCGATTATGATCGCCACCTGCTGGTCAAACCCCACCATTGTTCAGTAACTAATGATAAAAGTGTGTACAAGACATTTAAGGGTTAGTTCATCCAAAAATAGTAATGCTGTGATCATTTACTCACCATCATGTCATTCCAAACCTGACTTTCTTTCTTCTGGGGAACTCACAACAAGATATTTTGAATGTGTTTGTAATGTGTTTTAGGGAAGGCCGGTGCAATATGCAGGTTAAAGGAGAAATCCAGCGTATAGGAGACTTGCTGCTGAAGACCGTACATGAGCTGAAGGTGATTCTGTGTATGTGTGTGTGTGGTAGATGGTTTGTTATCAGTGATGTTATTGTCAGTATTGTGTGTGTTTGTCATTCTTCAGGCTCTCTCAGCTCAGCTGCAGACGAGCTCAGAGTGTAATGGAGTGTATTGAAAATCTGAAATAGCACAAAGTGTCCTGTGAGGGGTAGGTTTAGGGGTAGGGTTGGTGTAGGGCAATAGAATATACGGTCTGTACAGTATAAAAACCATTACGCCTATGGGATGTCCCCACTTTTGTGTGTGTGAGCAGGTTTTGGAGAAAACAGGGATGAAAAATGTTCCCTGAAGACAGCTAAATCTGAAAACAGCTTACTTTATCGGGATGTCCTCAATAGAAAAATGCTTCATAAAAGTATTTATTTTAAAACAGCCAAAAGGTGCATTTTAGTGCTTATTTAGAGGAACTGAAGAACCAGAAAACCTGCTGCAAAGTTTGTGAACCCTTAAAACTATTCTGTATTTCTTTATAAATTTGACATTTATTGAGGTCAGATAAAATAATAATAATGATAATGATAATAATAATAATAATAATAATAATTAAAATAAAGAGAATTCAGTTAAAGAAATAACACAAAAGACATGGCATATTTTCAATAATTTATTAAGTGTGTTTATATAAAAACTGACCAAAATGAAATAAAAACATAAAAATAAATATGAATAAAAAATACACTAGTATGTAAACTAGCACTAATCTCCATATATATTATATTACATTATATTATATTATATTATATTATACTAGGGTCAGTCAGATTTTCTAATGTTTTTGAAAGATGTCTCTTGTGCTCATATGTGATATATTGTGAAAATATGATTGTAATCTAAAATAACTGTTTTCTATGTGAAAATATTTGAAAATATCAGCATTACTCCAGTCTTCAGTGTCACACGATCCTTCAGAAATCATTCTAATATGCTGATTTGATGCTCAAGAAACATTTCTGATTATTATCATCAATGTTTAAAACAGTTATGCTGCTTAATATTGTTGTGGAAACCATGATATATCTTAGATTAATAGATGAATAGAAAGTTGAAAAGAGTAGCATTTATTTGAAATGGAACATTTTAGTTATAAATGGCTTTAGAAATGTCTTTACTGTCACTTTTCATCAATTTAATGCATCCTTGCTGAAATTATTAATTTCTTTAATTCTTTAATTAAATTTCTTTCTAAGGATTCTTTGATAAATAGAAAGTTCAAAAGAACAGCATTTATTTGAAATAGAAATATTGTGTAACATTATAAATGTTTTTACTGTCACTTTTTAGCTATTTAGTGCGCGTTTGCTAATTAAACTATTAACTTAAAAAAAATCTTACTGACCATAAACCTTTGAACAGTAATGTATATCTGTGTGTGTTCTAGCTGCATTGGACGATGTGTGTGAATTGGAGGCTGCGCTTCGTCCTGGTCTGGAAGAGATTGAGAACTATCAGAAACTCCTGGAGCTTCAGAAGGATTTGATTGGTGTTGAGCATCTGGCCGTGGCTGGACGTCAGCTCATCAGACTGGGCTGCCTCAGCAAACTCTCTGGGAAAGGCCTTCAACAGCGCATGTTCTTCCTGGTGAGATTTCAGTACATACATACAGTACACAGCCATGATATAGGGACCTATTGTTCTTAAAGGAATAATTCACTCAAAAATAAAACACCTGTCATCATTTACTCGCCCTCATGTTGTTTCAAACAAGAGTTTCTTTCTTCTGTTGAGCACAAAATACGATATTTTGAAGAAGGTTGGTAGCCAAACAGTTACTGGTATCTATTGACTTCCATAGTATTTTTTTTCTATACTATGGAAGCCAATGGCTACCAGCAACTGTTTGGCTACCAACCTTCTTCAAAATAACTTCTATTGTGGAATGTTGGTAATTCTGATAATTCTAATGTCTATATAACTAACCCAAGGCCTTGCACTAAAATTTTTACACATGAAATGAACCGATTTCTGATGAACTCCTCTTTCTCTTTTTATGTGGAGCCAGTTTAATGGCGTTCTGTTGTACTGCACCCGAGGGATAACATCAGCCAATCAGTTTACAGTGCACAGACAACTTCCTCTGCACGGCATGACAGTATGAAAACTCGGCAACCTTTGTGCAGATGATAATGATTTGGCATGAGAATCCACCCATGAGAAATCTGTGTATAAATTCATTATGTGTGTATGTGTTCAGATCCGGGAGAGTGAGGACGAGTGGGGCGTCCCGCACTCCTTCACACTGATGGTGCAGCAGCAGTCACTGGTGGTCGCCGCATGGTAATGTTGAGCAGTCATTTGTAATATATGTGTGTCATCAGCTAGACAGCAAGTACAGTAATAGAAAGCATGTCAACAATTTTATAAAATCTCACATCTCATCTGTGCCCACTGTTTACACACAGCACAATTTTAATTGATCGGACAAGTACAGCTTTTTAAGTGGATGTAAGAGTGTTAGAGGTCCATATATGATGGGTGCATTAAAAAAGGTCTCCTGTCTCTTGTAGTTCAGAGTCAGAAATGGAGAAATGGATGGAGGATTTAAAGATGGCGGTTGACATGGCTGAAGAGTCTAATGGACCGACTGCTGACCTGCTGACTGCTAGCAAGGATGTCAGTAAGTGAATCTGATCACACCTTTTGTATGTTTGCAGGGACGCGGGAAGTAGGGGTGCTGAGGGGGCTGCAGCACCCCCTGTTTTCACATGGTTGCAAATGCAACGGCAAGTTTGTTCATTTAAATTTATTCAGTTTTAGCATTTAATAATTTATTTGTAATGATCTCTGAAATGTAAATTGTAAGTGGGCTATAACAAACCCATTTTTATCTTTATAAACATAATTAATTTTACTTGTGATGTTTTCTATATGGGATGATTAGCCTAATCCTCATGAACACGTGACGCTAGCGCATGAACTATACAGAATGCGAACAAGATTAACTTTAATACAAGGAGATAATGGCGCAAAAGCGAATTTCTGATTTTTTTAAATGCTCAACCCAGCAAAAACTTTCCAAAATAGGTATCCAACACCAGCCCCAGCACGAGCACCGACGTAAGTGAATCAGCTCCAGCACGAGCACGGAGACAAGTAAGCCTAGCGGACCCAGCCCAACCCCCGAGATTGATCAGCTACTATCGATAATTTCAAAAATGGGATATGCAGTCAAATTTCCCAGTGTGTATGCCACTTAAACGAATGTTCATATCGACGCATTTGTAGTGCTTTGTGGAGTTGTCAAATGAGGTGTTTATGTTTATATATTAATTTGTTTATATATAATGTAAATTATATGAATATAAATATATAGATGCAAATACAGGTAAATATTTTCAAAATATATACTGTATATGTGTGTATTTATATATACACATAATAAATATACACAGTACACACACATATATTATGTAAACAAAAACTTTTAGTTTGGATGCGATTAATCGCGATTAATCGTTTGACAGCACTAATATATATATATATATTCCCAAAAAAGTGCAATTTAGCATACTAAAAAAGAGTACCGTATTGTCCCGAATATAAGACGATATTTTTTTCTTGGAAATACATCTGAAAAAACGCGGTCGTCTTATATTCGGGCCAATACGGTACTTATTTTGGCATAATATACTTAAAAAATTTACTTAAGTGAATGTAATTTTTAAGGACACTTAAATGCATGTTAACTATGAAAATGTTTTATGTTTATCTTATACACAATGCAATTAGCTGAACTTTACAGTGCTTTTATGACCCACTTAAGTAGGAAACTTTAAATGGAATATGGAATAACACACTATTTATAATTATAATCAAGTACTTTACATGTGCTTTAGTATGTTAGTCAACACATCAAAATAAGTGTACTTCTTTAAAGCATGACAAACTATTAAAACTATTAAATAATGATTTAAAATGTACTTTAAAGTAGAACTTTTAATATGACATTACAAAAAAGTCATGAAAATCTACTCTCTTCATTGGCCTTTTATTTAATTAATATTATAGTATCTGCAAGTACAGTTTTTTAAAATATACTTTTAAGATTTGAAGTAAACTACAAATGCACATTCAACTCAGTTAAATGCATTTCTTTTTCATGTTATACTGCCGTAGATCAGCTGTTTAATCAGGGACTATAATCAGTGTACAGAAGTCAGAATATGCTGTCACATGGTTCAATAATGCAGTGATTGCTAACAGAACTTTAGGGAGCGTGTTCTAGCAAAATTATGTGTTTTAGGATACAGTTAATGTTTCTCTCAGAATTCTCAGGGGCGTCTGAAGTGGAGTCAGAGGACGATCTTTGTGGCTCTCGAACATCTTTGCAACGCAACGGCAACGATTCCGCAAACACTCTTCACCGCGGCAACACCACAGCACATGTGTGCTGGCATCGCAACACCAGTGTTTCCAAGCTGGACTTCAGCATCGCCATAGAGGTACCAGTCCTACATCTGCTCATCTCTATGTTTGAATACGAAAATGTGTAATACAGTTCGGTCACTGTGCCTGACAGAACCAGCTCTCAGGAAATCTGCTCCGAAAGTTTAAAAACAGTAACGGCTGGCAGAAACTCTGGGTGGTTTTCACCAATTTCACCCTGTTCTTCTACAAAACACATGAGGTAAAACGCAGACAGACACACACACACACACACACACACACACAC